AGTGGAAATGAGAATTGAGACCAGGCTCTTTTGCAAGCTGAGCTTGGAAACGCTCAACATAACTGTTGTACCTGGCAGCAGGCACAGATTCCCAAAGTCAGCACACCTGGTTTATTGCAGGTTGTTATAGATGCTTAATCCTGACACCAGAATAGTGGTGCATGATTTCCTGAAGGAAGAGTGATAAAACTCTCCAGGAGGATGCCTTCTTCTCTGCATCTTTGATGGACTAATTTGCATGTATTCAAACAGCTAAATATCTGTGCCAGGCAAAGCCCAACCCTCTGTATCTGTTTCTCTTTTTTCACTAGCACAAATGACAGACAGCTTAGGAACAGGATGGCCGTTGGGGAAGGAGGTTTACAGCATGCAAATCTCCGCTTGCAGGCACCTTGGTACGCTGAGTTTCTCACCAAAATGCTGTTGACTTGACAACCTCACTGACCTTCTACAAGACCAGTAGACAATCTCATTCCAAATCCAGGTCCTACCGCTGTCCTTCTCTCACCAGGGATTCAGAGGCACTTGGTAGGCTGCCTGTCTGCAGGAGGGAAACCGAGGTTTAACTGCAGATGCCTGGGAAACTCCCTGCTCGTTTCCAGTCAAGTATGTCTGTGTGGCAAGTGATAAAGCTCTATCAATAAGGCACAAAGTCTCCCAAGCACCTGGCACAAGCTCGTACAGATAGATTTCAAACGAGTTATTGTGGCCCATGTCAGCCACAGCCCTCATCTGCTCCATCCCCGAGTCTGCGCCCCGGCTGGGATTTCCTCCCACAGTCCCATGGGATCCGCCAGCCCCTGGAAAAGTCACTGTCTTGTAAACTTGTGTTTTCTTTGTCATTCAAGGGAGCTGCTATTTCTGGTATAACTACAGTTACCATGGCTACACCAGCTCATAAATAGGGTCAGAAACCTTGGAGATGTTTTTAAGTGATTCCTTGCAATAAGGAATAAACCGGCCAGAGGTAACAAAGCTCATGGGTTTTCCTTTGGGGCGACAGGGGCTGCACCCCTCCTACCGCTTGGACCCCATGGCTTCTGGTGCAGCTCTGGTCTGGATTGGGTGGCAACTGATGGGGCCCAAAAGGCCAGTGCTGGCTTTCCCGGGGCCAGGGTACGAAGACCCTGGGCAGGGGCAGGGAGGGACAGGGATCAGGTACTTGGTCCCTGGGCAGAATTCCTCATCCCTCTGGGGTGGCAACCGGGCACCGACTCAAAGCTGGCGCCTGTTGCTCTGCAGAGGAGCTGCACACCCGCATCCCCGCGAAGCAAATATCACCCGCTTTGTGAGGGGAAGGGAGAGAGGGAGGATGGATGGGGAGAGAGAAGGAGAGGGGGGAATGGCCCGATAAGCACAGGAGATAAGAAAGAATATGATAAGCAGGGCCCTTTAGGGAGTTTCTGCTACGTTTTGCCAGTGGCCAAAAAATAGCTTCACGTGACACCATGGAAATTTTTCTCCCACACGTCCACTTTTGTTAAAGAGAAATGAGCCAGATTTCATTGGGAAAACAGGAAAACAAAAGTGGTGTTTTGAAAACAAACAGCCTGAAAATATGTAAATTTTTAAGGTTCAGGAAAGAGGAGCAGGGGGTTGTAGAGCCAATCTCCCCGGCAACTCTACCTACATAGGAGAAGGCAGAAGGGGAGGGGGAGCCCCCGGAAACCTGTCTGCAGCAGATGGAGGCATGGGAATGAGCAGCGGGGATGGGAGTGGAGTCTGTTGCCAGCAGGCTGCACCTCTTTATATCCACACAAGCAGGTCCCTGCCCACAGTAATCACTTCTGCTGTCAGGAGCTGCTGAGCACAATCAATCTCCACGCATTTGTATACAAGCTCTAGTCGTCCCAGGGAAGAGACGATGCCAACGCGGTGCTGCCCCCGTCCTCTTTCCTGTGCCCAGAAATTATCGCACAAGCCTCCGAAAGCTGTGTGATCGTCCTCAATCACGTGGGAACGCAAAGTGTGTTTGCTCCTTCTCTGCTAGATTGAAAGCTCCTCGGCTGCATCTAGGATTTACTTCCCAGCTTCTCTGTGCCCACTCAAGGTCTAGGACCTTATCGATTTTTTAAATATAAGCTAAGAGTCTCGCTGAAGGATTTATCTCATCTAACTTCAGCCATCTGAAAGGCCAGAGGCCTCGGCTGTGGGGCTCTTGCTCAGCACCAGAGCAGCGCTGGACTGGTGCCCGCTGCCAGGGCCTGTCATGTCAGAAAGAGCCGGTCCTTTCTTGGCCAAGTGCGGTCACACTGGCTGCCACGGCTGCTCCAAAACCCCCTCCTCCAGCCTCACCCAAAGACGAGGCCAGTCCATCACTACACAAACCCACACCTTGGTTTCCTTCTGCCCCGCGCCGCTCTGATGCTCCTGGCTCTGACGCTCTGTTCCCTGGGACCATTTTTGGCCCTGCCAGCCCTGATCTCCTGTTGTGCACTGGTTGTTCAACAAGGGTAAGTGAGTGGTGCTTCACCAGACCCAGCGCACCCCACGGGATTGTTAACCCTGTGGTTATGCCTCAAGCCAGACAGCTATAGCCCGTGACTGAGGTGCTGCTGCAGCTGAGGATGAGGACGATTTTCCAGCACCTTCTAGCAGGGCCCTGGACCTTCTGTTTTCATCCTGAGACTCTGCTCACTTCTTCCACATTTCTGACACCCATCTCCCAGGCAGTCACAACAGGCTGTTATAATACATCAGAGGTACAAAGCACCTGATGAAACAGTGTGCGTTACCATCCATGGAGTTTTGTTGGCTTGGAGCTTGGGCTGAGGCACCAGCTCTTCCCTTTCCCAGACAGCCCCTCACAGTAGCAATGCTACCAGTACCCAGACGTGACCTAGCTCCTACCCTCAGCCCAGCGCCTCGGGTCCCAGAGGCGACAGGCCGCCCCCCTGGCTGGCCACACATGTGCAACACAAAGGTTCTCCCTTCTTCCCCTGCCATCCCATCTGCTGGATGCAATTCAATATTCGCCAGGGCCCTGTGCAGCACCCCAGCAGCATTTCTTATGACTCCCTTGAACAGACTCAGCCCTCTCGGCACCAGGCTGACTGCGTGCACCACTCTGTGAGGTGCGTCTTGTCCCCTGCGGCACCGCTGAGGAGTTTGCTGGAAGCCTCTCCATGCATTCACCAGCACAGGGGAGGGACCTGGGGTGATTAGGACTAATTTCTCCCTTCCCTGCATGTGCAGGAATGTGTGTGGGCTCACGAGCAGCGGCATCGCTCCAAGGGCAGGTGATTTCCTTATTCCTCTTTGCTTCTCCAGAGATCTCCCCGCAAGGAGCACCGAAGAAGCCACAACCTCTTCTTGCAGAAAGGGGCACATCACCCCTCGGGAGGGGGTCGCGGCTCTGCTGCTCCCCCAGACCCCGCCGGAGCTGTGACTGCAGAGCCCCGAGGTCACGGCGCTCCCCGCACGTCCCCTCCGGCACCGTGCGGGGGCCTGCCCACGGTCGGCACCCTGACGTCACCTGGTAGCAGGGTATATCTAGAGGAGAAAGGACACCTCGAGACCCTTTCGACGCAGGCTGGGAGTTGGATGATTTGCAGGAGGAGCCCTTGGCACTGTAAGTATTTCCCAGGAGCTCCAAGCAATAATGAGGGTGGCAGGGAGATGAAAGGGGAACCGGCTGCAAAACCCAGAGGAGAGGAAAGTCCTGATAAAACCCCAGGGCAGGAAAATTCGGATGTTTGTGCTTGGAGAGCGTGAACAGACCCAGCAGCTAAGAGAGGGAGTTGTGGTCCTCGCATGGTCGTTTTCTCTTTCCTCTCACTATTAGGGCAAGTGCTGGAGCAGTGCCTTGTCTCAAAGCTCCCTGGCTGCGCGAGCGGCTCTGCCCTCCACGGGGCCGCTCGGTTCCTCGTGCCCAGCACCCCTCGGTCAGGGGTCCCCAGCACCCCCGTGGCTCGTGTCCTCGGCTGGCTGAGCCGGCAGGTGAGCAGTGCTGGGGGGGCTCCTGAGGAACGGTCGGGACAGGCAGCTGGTGTTTCGTGCTCCGGTGCCCAGCCATAGACGTGGGGCACATCGGTGGGGAGTTTGTACCATGTGATGCTGTACCTCCGGTGTTACTGAATCCCTTCTTTCAGCTGGGATAGTCATTCCAATGATCCCCACCCGGGAAGCAGTTGTGGGAACGTAGTTCTACTTGAGATGAGTTCTGGATTGTAGAGTGCATCCTCTTTCATCGGTTCTTGGTCTTAAAACTGCTGCTAGAACAGAGGGTCTCAGATCCTGTGTAAAACACAGGAACAGAAAGGGCTGAACCTGCGTGGACTTCTTCCATCGCCGTGATTAGCCAGCTCAAGCAACTGAGACTGGAGCTGTGAGGTTCCTCACAGGCATCTTACACTGGATACAATATTCCCTGACAAAAGCCTGGCTGCAAGAATGATGCTAGTGGCTCTCGTGAGGTCAAGAGCTGAGCATGCAAGAACCCCATCAAAAGGAATGTGAAAACAAGGATATTTCCTCCTGCCTGCTGTCTATTCCCAATGTATCCCTGCATGGCAGACCACGGCTCTTGGGGGTTCTGTGTCTGACATCCCTGAGGCACCACAAAGACAAGTGCACATGGAGGAGTCTGTATTTTTTAAGGTTTCAGACAAGGGAAGATGAGTTCCTATGCTGAATTTGTCTGAAGAAGGTCAAGCAAGGCATCTGCATTATCTGTCAGGGAAATTTTCCACAGAGAATCAGAGATTAAGGAGAGGGCAGATTAAAGAGTCAGCATTTGTCAGTAGTATTCAAGTCCCTTTAAGTTCAAAGAAAACTAAAAGAAGGATGATTAACCTGGCCAGCAACCCAGAGGTGGGATATCTGACGCAACTGAGATAAGCCCATTACCATCTATTAGGTATAATTAGCGTTCGGACGCAAGCAAAGCTCTTACCCAGAGGATTAAACCCTGGAGTGAGCAGAAATGCTGTCAGGGGTGATTAGTTAACACCTTGTCAGAGGAGGGGGCAGAAGAAGTGCGTGGAAGAACATCTTGTTCTTCAACAGCCTTTGCATCCACAGCCATCAGCTCTCTCCCGGGAGCTGCCTCCCAGTGCCAGTGGCAGCAGAAGAGCTCTGGCAGCCCAGCAAGCACTGGGAGGAGGCAGCATCTTGCAGAGATCTAGAGAAGGAGACTCAGTCTCCTCAACGTTTCTCAAGCCATCTGTTCGGCGTGGTACCAAGGACTATCCAAGTACGCAGGTACGGGGAGGCGAAAGGCTGGGAAATTCCCCTGGGAAGCTGCCGTGGGAGCTTCTTTTGCATCTGTGATGGCGGGGTGCCCGCCGGCCCATGCCTGGCTGCGTGCAGAGGCAGCTGGTTCCCGAGGTGTGGGAACAGGGGCAGCGCCGGTGCTGCGGGCAGGGCCCTCTCCAGCAGGAACGGAGACACCTTTGCCTGCGTGTGATGGCAAGCGAGTCCCACCAGATCAGTGGTGGGAGGGCAGCTTGATTCCTGCTGCAGGATGGAGGCTGTTATATGTCATTAAGGCTGCTTTCTGTCCTCTGCCATTTCTTTTGGTGATGCATGGAGAGAATAGGTAGAGGAGGTTGGTACAGAAGAAAGGTTTGTCCCTTTTAGTTTCATTGAGTGCTTTTTCTTGAATTCATGCAGGTCAGAGAGAGGATGAAGTGTGATTTGGGCAGCTCCTTTTTCCTACCAAATCTTGGGTTATCGAGTAGCTAGTAGGTGGATGCAACTACTTCAGACTGGGGGAAAAGGAAACTCCAAGGACTGAGTCTTCCCATTATCTATTTCTTTGTTGAGCGAAGGCCAGGGGCAAGGCATGGATTCAGGGAACTAAGAGGAGTCGACCCTCAAAGACATTTTTGTGGTTAAGGTACCACACTGGCACACAGCAGGTCTTGGTGAAGCAGAGCAGGAACTCACTTGGAGATGGAGCTCAAATGCATCTTACAAGTTCTGGATGCAGTCCAAAGGGTTGGAAATCTGTTAGCCGGTTTGTTTCTTCTGCTGTACTTTTGGGAGTAGCCCTTGAGAGGGGTGCCAAGTGTCTTGGCGTGTCAGATGAACATGGTGCTTAGAAGTGGATGTGTACCTCTCGTAGTTCAGGAGGGGTATCTAGCGCTGAGACAGACACCCTACTGATGAGAACTGTACCTGAGGCAGAGCATAATACTATATTTTGGGGCATTAGCAGACATGCCATGCAGCAGTTTTCTGATGCAAAGCATTTTGTTGTAGGGCAGTACCATCTGAATTCCTCACTGGTCCTGAGTAACAGTGAGGCACCAAATTCTCTCTTTGGTTTGGAGCCAAACTACCTCAGGTCTCAGTTTGGCCCTAAAAAACTGTGAGTCAAAAGATTTTGTCAATCCTCCCAGCAGTGCAGTCCAGGTCATACTGATCACTGCACCTCCATTTCTATTCTGTAAAAGATGAAGGTGACAGTGTTTGCCTGTCCTGCCACCGTGCTGTGAGGATAAAGCTGTAAATACTGGGTGATTATTTAGGTGCTGCAGAGATGGCAGCCAGATAAGTAACTTCCACGATTTGAGCTGATCCCTGTGTTTGTGGGCACAGTGTGTGCTTAGGAAGCGTTGTGCTACAGGCGGGGAAATAGCATCTGTGCATACTTCAGCTGCAGACACAACCATCTGCTGCTCCATTTGGGGCTGCTGGAACCTGTCCAGTCTCCTGCTCGGGATATTACAGCTGAGACAGGAGCCCAACCACAAGCGACAGGAGAACTAGCATGCCTCTAGGTGCTATCATTAGGATCCATCCTACTGTCAGCACAGATGGAAAGATGTCAGGGGTGAAGTATTCCCAGACTGCCACAGATACAGAACGCATTCGCCTTGCACTGATGTGGAAGTGACATGGGAGGATTGCTTGGGTGGTCTTTCTCCTTGCATCTTAGGCTTTGCTTTCCAGCACTTTGGCTATTTCAGGACTGTCAAAGACATGAACTGTCTTCCGACTAAGAAAAAAAACACAAACCCAAACATTCTTGATGGCATTTATAGTTCTGAGATTAAAAGTCTGGAGTGTCACTGCAGGTGATGTTGGGGATTAGGCTAGAGCACTATGGTGACCTAATGAGATTAGCCTTTAGTTCCAAATCCTGAAGTTAATTCCATCAGCGATCCCATCAGCCTGGCTGCACAGGGATGAACACCTGGAGATAGGAGTTATATAATGGTCATGGGGAAGAATGTGACCTCAAGGAGGGGAGTGAAAAATGGCATTTATTTTTGTCCATAAATGCACTTGCTCAGACCATTCTAGCATACTAATTAGCACAAAATTAGATGAAGGGCTGGAAGGTCCCCCTTGGGCACTGGTGAGAGTTATTGCTGTCCTCCCTGGGAAGGAAGCAAAGGGCTTTGAATGCAGCAGTTCTGCCCTCTGAGGCAAGAGAGATGTCTCCCACACAAGAATTACTCCCTAATAACTATTTAGCCCCTGTGAAGTGGAGTTTGGCTCATGTGCACTGTGGTGCAGAAGAGGTCAGTGCATGTCATATAATGCTCACAAACACCGAAATGGACATATCCTGGGGAAAGTTACAGGCTTTACTCTCCTAAATCCTGAGAAATTAACTTCTGCCTAAAAGACAGTCTCCAATGCTTTGCCTTAGCCTTCTTTACAATCTTTCAAAGATTCTGTGCTCTAAGTTTGGTATTGATAAACGTGAGACCCAAATTGCAGCTCCAGCCAGACTAAGGGGCTATGTAGCTCAGCATCCCATCTCCAGCAGTGTCCAAAAGGTAACACTTAGGCAAAAGTATAAGAATAGGTGAAGTATATCATAATGATTCCCAAGGATAGGATATTTCTCTAAGCTGTAAGTGCGTCTTTGTGGGTCCTAGTAGGCATGTTGTGAACCAGTAAGTAAAAATATCAGCACTGCTGTTCCAAGGCTAGCTAGAAAACAAACAACATTGGCATTAACCTTCCTATTTTACCCAAACTGTGGGGCAATCTGCTGCAGCAACCTGTCTCCAAGAGTCCAGCTATGTCTGAGAAAAAAGAAGGTGTGACTCTCCGTGACTCTGCAAGTCATTGCACTATGGGGTTAAGTGTCTTTTTGTCCTTAGCTCAAGTGTCCTTTGTTTGGCCTCCTAATTCTAGCATGCCAGATGAAAGACCGTGCTATCCTGCTTACTTTGTATGCATTACAATCTTTCTTTATGTTTACTGTCCTTATCTTTAATCCTGTCACAATTATATTTTCCGTAATTCTGTCATCTGACTACTGATACCTAGAAGTGATAAGCAGAGCGTTGTCAGTCCTTGCTGTTATCTTGCAGACAGAGGGATCTGAGAGAGGCGTGCGCCTGCCACACACCACAGCCCAGGGATGAGTGAGAACCCACCCACCAACCTCAACGCTGGAGATGCTCCAGCTGGTCCCACCACACCACGCAAGGGGCCTCCCAAGTTCAAGCAAAGACAGACAAGGCAGTTCAAGAGCAAGCCCCCTAAAAAAGGAGTAAAAGGGTAAGGGCTTTTTGGAAAGAAAAGAAACCGTGCCGGTCCGGTGGCTCCCCACTGCTAAGCTGGGCTTCTGCGGCACCATCTTCCCTCGGGCAAGGAGCCAGGAGGCTTCACCCTGCGCCGCTGCCTTCAGCTCTCCTGCCTGGAGCTGCTTCTCTCCGTCTGCTGCCCACCCGCAGCTCTTCCCTGGCTGAGGGTGCAGGGCAGCTGCTCTTTCCTGGGGGCTGCTGGCCCAAATTCACCCTCACCTGCTCTTTTCTCCCCTAGGTTTGGAGATGACATCCCAGGCATGGAGGGACTGGGCACAGGTAAGCCCCGTGGGATGTTGCTGTCATGCCCTGCTTTAACGCAAGTGCAGTCACGCTTCAGCACGGGAGAGGACTCTGGGGTGCCTCTCTGTCTCCCTGGCATCTCTGCAGCTCTCAGGGTCAGCACAGAAGGCTCGTACTCCCTCCGCGAGCTGCCACGGTCATGCTTGTGCTTACATGCACTACGAGACAGAAAGGCTATTTAGGCACACTTCAATTTCTGAATACTTTCGCTTGGCTGCAAATGTGCTTGTTTGTTTTCTGCTAATGCTCTGCCTAAGAATTTCAGCAGAATGAGGTTCTCAAAGAATTGCCAAATGCTAAGCTATTAATACCAAAAATCACGGGAACTAAATCCCAGCTGGTTAAGTATTTCTGTTATCACGAGAATCCTAAATTTAAGAATTTTATGCACCCGTCTGGGACTGAGCAACACACGCTGGATGAACTGTAGCCAATCGGAACTTCTTAGGTATCAAAAACAACTGCACCTATCAAAGAGTTACAGATCCTGAATGTTGTAGACCAAATTTTTCCGCATCTGATTTAAGATTGCACTTATCTTCAAGATCACAGTTTGGCTACAGGTAGTTTATAAGAACAGAAGAAACCTCGTTACTGGAATGAATTTTTACACCAGTCTACACAGTCACTGAAGAGACTAGAGGAAATGCTGGTTTGCTTTTGCTCACAGAGAAAGATGGCACGGGAGAAAATACACTGATCTGGTTTGGTCTGGTAGGTAGTGCCAGATTTGAAGAGCTCATCTGCTCATTTAATCTTCAAGTGGAATCTCATTTGTCTTAATGTTTCCTGAGTAAATCAGCCTTTCTATTAATATGAAAGAAATCCAAGAAGCGCAGTGACCAGAACCCATTTCTCATTCTCTCTCTTTTGCAGATATCACAGTGATTTGCCCATGGGAAGCTTTCAGCCATCTGGAACTGCACGAGCTGGCCCAATTTGGGATCATCTAAGGTGCCAGCATCTCTACTGGTGTCACCTGGTGACTCCACAGATCCCATCATGGTCTTCATCACCTTTGACACTTATTTTTGGCCCTTACATCCACCTGCTCACAGGCAGGGTGGTTTTGTAAGAGCTAGTTATGAGAAAGTCCTTTGCAGATTAATTTGGCAAAGAAGTTAGTTGGGACCCTGAACAGACCTCATGCTCCATGTGGTGAAACTACTGAAAAATGTCTTAATGCCTCCCTGAACCATATCCTGTCTTCTCCCACTGTCGTTGCTCTTCAGGTTTATGGAGATAGAGGGAGGCTCTATTTGAACTTTTCCCCTGGTTAACTTTTCCCCTGGTTAGCTGAGATACTGTGTGCATGGGTGTGCATGTATGTCCAGACCTAATTACATCAAGCCCATTCTGTTTTCTTCCCTCCCTGACAGCTTTCTGTATAGGATTTCCACGGATATGTCCCCATGTTAGCCGGGCCACCAACTATTTGCTGAGAGTATATCTGTAGAGAACAGCATTAGAGTCACCAGTCCAGACGTTAGGCTATTTTTCTGTAGGAGACCCTTCCCCAGGGGTTCACCATAAGGAATTTGCTGCTAAGATTTACCTCACCAGCAAATGGGGAAAAGGGGTTGCAAACGTTGTCTCTGCTGCACTGCCCACAGGCTATGAGCCATGAGACTCTGGCTGTTCCAATAACGTTAAATGAAAATATGCGTGTCTGAGATCAATAGCTAAGTGAATTAATCCTACTGTTCATTCCTTTGTGTCTGCAACTCCAAGGAAGCAGCACTCCAACTGACACTGTTCCCCTCCTTCGATGGGCACCCCGTGTGACACTTGCACTGTCCCCATGCCCACACACACTTACACGAGGCATTTGCTCCCCAGCACGTTTGCTGCCAGTTAAGAAGACAGAGGATCATTATGATCTGTCACCAGACAGTGCCAGTAGTCCCGCCTCATCTAGCAGAAGATGGTATTGCATTAATTACTCCCTCTTCTCCGTATTTAGCATGGGGCAAGTCTCCCTTCCCATCCTGCCCCATCAGCAGGAAGGCTTTTCTCTTCACCCCCCCGGCAACTTCAAGCTCTGGAGCTTGACTGGACAAGCAGGCAAATGGTTGTTCCCCCAAGAGAGGTAACGCAGAGACGGTGGGGAGGCAGGGGGAGGGTAGGGTGGGTATATGCAGGCAAGCCCAGAGCGAATCCACTTAACCCTATCGATTTGTGTCTCCTGGTCTCCGGCAGCCTGAGTGCTGGTGAGTGGTGAGGCACTCATAATCACTTAAATGCTTGGGGAAGGCACCGAGATTCCCTGCTGCCCTGGCATTAAGGAAGAGCTTTTATTTTGTTTGGAGGCAAGGAGTGAGCTTTGTTGTAGCTACCTAACGTTCATAAGAAGAGGTGGTATTTTTAATCATTGCCTTCAGCTTGATGAGCCTCATTGCATAAGAACTGCCTCCCCCCAGCTTATCTTTCCTATGCTGAACATGTTCATGGGAGCATGGAGTGGTTATGGAGAGGAGAGCAAATCCTGCCTGAAAGATCAATCCCCACGCATAAAGCATTGCTATAAATCCATGGCTGTGCTATAGTTATCGGCTACTGTTATTCCAGAAGTAAGAGCTAGGAGGTTTCATTTACAATACAGCTTCAGCACCAAAAGCTAAAGGAAATTCCTGTTGGCAGTCCAGAGTACAGCTTTCATTATTCAGCACTCCTGCCGTTAGAAACAGCAGTAAACCAAAGAGCAGTTCAGAACCGCAGCACAATCACAGCGCAGGAGTCATGTACCACTTAGCTAATTGCAGCCCACAGCTATTTCCTTGGGCAGAGGCAGTCTGTCCTTTCCACTTACTCCCAATTTCTCCCACCTTTCTCACCTTTTAAGGTTTTTCTTCTTTCCCAAAGTGTTCTTTATGTAAATGATGTTTTATTTAGCTTTTACTGTAGGGGACTGATCTCATTTTTCTCCAAGCTCATGTGCTAGCTCTCTCCTTCTGTGGTTAAATGTGAATGTTCCTATGTCGATGCTCTTGTGCTTTCCCTCACATTGCACCATCCTGTAGCATGTGATCCTTATTCCACCTCCTGAGTCTGTCCTCTTCTATCTGGGAGAAGACCCACTGCATCCAGTTTTGGATCCTGCAAGATAGCTGCCTCTATTATAATTGAGTTTCCCCTTTTTTAAGCAGGAAAACAACAAGAGGAGAGCCTTTGAATTAGCCCTTTGCTCCCTTTCATCCCAGGCCTTGGGAAAGCAGTCCAAAGATAGTGAGATCCTCTGTCAGAAAATACTGGGGTAAAAGCAAAGTTCTCCTTAGTCCAGGGACTGAAACATTTCAGCAAATGGGAGGGTCCTGGTGTAGTTCCACATCTGATTGCCATAACTCCGTCTCCCATCAGAGACCTACTCCACTCTCCTTCCTAGAGGCATCCAGCAGGAATGCACACATCTCATGCCTGGCTGATGAGCTGTATCAGAAGATGTTTTGAGTCAACATATGTTAGTTATTTTAAAAACAATTTCTATTCATTAACAGGAACTACATTCGTTCCTTTACTTGTAAGGAATTTTGAGACTTGGAAGGAGTCTTAAAACATCCTCACAGTTGTTTTGTCTGAGGTTCTGAGCTTTTACTAATGACCTATAACCCCAGAAACTTCCATTTTTCAAACAGTGAGAGATGGCTATGATGCAAGAAAGCAAATGTGTTAAAGTAGCTTATTGAAGGACTTCAGTCTATATACATTGTAATATGCTATTCTTTGTTCTTTTACTATAAAAACAAGTCAAAAGCAATAAAAATGAATAAAAAATGTTTAAAAATGCTAGGAATGTAGTCTGTCTTGTTTTCAAAATATATCCGGAGAAAGGCAGATAACTTAGCTTTTCATTCTAAAATCCTTTCCTCAGGAAAGCTCTGAAAGCCACTCACCACTCCTCACAAGAGAAAACCAGCTATTTATCTCCAAACAATAGGCAATAAAAACTAACTGTGATATCATCTGAGAAGCAGTTTTTCCCTGAGTGATGGTGTATTCTCCCAGGCACGGTGCTTGTGATTTTCTTAGGGCCGAAATCTTTTGGCCAGTTATGTCTTCTGGGACAGTTTATGCAACGGAGTGTCAGCATGTTTCTACCCTATAGCAAAAAAATGGCTCAGATGTGAATGCTACTTATTTCATTCTCATGGCTATGACTGGAAGATAAAGCTGCAAATGCTCATCTGCTTTTACTTCTTGTTGTTGCTGAACTTTCTAAATGTTCATAGGGGTTTCAAGTCAGTCAGGTTCAATTGCCTCCTGGTTTAGATGTTGCCTAGAAAATTCTGTAGCACACCAAGAGTACCCTCAAAGATGAGTCCCATCCTCACTGACCTCAGTTTCTGGCTCTAGCAAGAAACTTAAATAAACCTAAACCCCTGAAAGAAAAGAAGAATGAACCTTGGGAAAAGGGAGAAGCACTTGTCTTGCTTTTCCTCCCCTAATATATCTAAATCACATCAGGAATCTCAATTTAAAAAAAAAAATAAATCTTCAGTGTAAGTTGGATTCTTCAGGAGATCCAAAGATGCTGAGTGCAAGATTCCCATCTTCCAACAGTTTGCAAATCAGCACCTCAGTATCAAGCCACTATTGCATTTTCCTATGGTATTGATCAATATGATATGGACTAACAAAGGTACTCTGACAATATCACTGTGTGTGTTGTGGGGCATTTTTCTATTTTATAAACAGGATTTTGAGAGTTAGAAAAATTAATGTCAAGAGTGTCCATCACCTTTAGGTCTCTAGTACCTGATTTTCCAGAGTTCTTAACATTATGTCTTGGTGTTTGAAATACAGATGTCATTGGTTGTGGTTGCAGCTATGAGTACTCATTAGTGACTCTCACTCTCTCTGAGTCTGATCTCACTCAGACAGTAAGATCCAGGGCCTCAGCCTGGAGATCCAAGGAACAATGAGTAGGTATTTTGAGAGCACTTATGTAATGCCTCACAGGAACGGCTCGAGCATCACTCAGGGTGGGCAGGTTATTCCAGCCAACAGTCTGTTTCAGCATCTCCACAGCACTGTGATGCAAATCTTCTTTCTTTTGAAAAAAAAAAAAAAAGAACAGAAGATCATGCAATTCAAATTAAAGATTGTATCACATGCTTATAAATGTGCTCAACACTGGAATTCCCCTATACTGGACTGCTTGACTTTGAAATCTTACTCCCAGTCCTCATAGTGCTGCCAGGGTCGTTAAAGCCGGGCTCAGCTTGGTACCCCGATGTCGGGCACCAGCACCTCCAGAGGTTGTCCTGGCTGCCCAAAGCAGGGAGCGCTTACGGCTCCCAGGCTTCCCCACACCTGCTGTAATCCACCTGTAGGGAGTGGGATGGCTGAAGCCTCTGTGCTGGGAGCACATAAGGATTTAATTCTATCAGTTGCAACTTTTAGCTTATCTTTAACAAGTGCTCTCATTTTTTACGTGGTTGCCCTTGTGAAGTTTAGCATAACTGCGGTGAGATTTTTGGCCCTTGCTGCTCCTGCTGGGTGAAGGAGATACCGTCACTATGAAGGCTCATTGCCTTCAGGCATTTTCAAACACTTTCTTGTCTCTGGCATTTTTCTGAGGGCCTCTCACATTCCTGAGGCTGTAAACGAAGTGGCTGAACGCAGCAATCGCCAGCACATATGCAACATACACCAGGCTGTCCCGATGGCTGGGCAGACCAGGAATACGACACAAATAGATGAACTTCATTACCCTGTGAAGAAGACTTCTGGTACTGTGAGAGGTTTCCCCTCACCTCCAGTTAGGACACCAGGAGGAGCAAAAGATGGAAATCCCAGGACTGTTAGCAATCCCTCCGATGTAGGCTGCTAGAACACATCCCTTGGAAGTGTGATCTCTGCAGGCTCACAGAGGGTGACGAGGGGCACAGCAGGTTATAGACAGATGGGAGACAGGGCCGGTTCCTCAGCCCTACAGAGGCTTCTGCCCCACAGGTGACCCCACGTTGCTTCACCAAAACCCCACAGTGGTTTCTCTAGGCACAAGGAGAAGGCAATCTCATTTGCTCATCTTACAAGGTAGTTGGATGCAAGTCAGCTCAAACCTGTACACCAGACAGCCACTTTCTCATCCAGGTAGCTGCTGGCACGGGCATAGCAAGCTTGCATCTGTCTGCACCAGGGGAGCTGGCTGCAGGTCTGAAAGTAAAAGAAGAAAAATAACAGCAGGGAAACCACAAGTAGTGTTAGATCTGCCTTTAGCAACTGCAGTGTTCCCAGAAACCCTCACTGGGATCAAAGTCTTTCCATGCTAGGCACTGT